AAAAGACACCAAAATGCGGACGCATTATCACGTCTGCCAGATTTAGCTTGTTCACAGAATAGATTAGCAGCTGGAAACGTGCTAAAACACAATCTACCCTGTGGAGCATGCGATTATTGTACTCGTGCTCACCAAAGTTGGCTTGGTTTTCAAGAAGACGTAGATAACGTTATTCCTTTAGCTTCACATCAAGACTGTAAAACTTTTGAGCAAACACACAATACAGGACCACTTACAGTACTACCGAGTTCTTTGATTTCTGAGAACAATTTACTGAAACAGGACAATGCACAACATACAAATGTGATTATAAAGGACAATGCTACACCAGATAGTTCAATATCACAAGACGGGGACCAGAATGTGACAAGTCACGTGAATGAGAATTTAGGTACATCTCCTGTCCAGCCACAAGTATTTGACAGTACCAATCAAGATACAGTAAGCCAGAACCAAAATGTTTGTCACAGTTCAGTTGAAATAGTCACTACACCACTTGGTATGTCAGTTTACGTGACATATTTGGACCTTCCAAATGTAAATGCCATTACTGAGACAGGTATAGAAGCTAGTACTTATTCACCAGAGCAATTACGCGATTATCAGTCTAAAGACCCAGACTTGGAATTAATACTGGTATGGTTCAGGGACAAAACAGAACCATCAGAGGCTACAATATTCAGATGCAGTCCAATAGCTAAGAAATATTGGATAAACAAAGATATGTTCTACTTAGATGATAATGGAATATTGAGAAATTTGGACAAGAAAGACAGAACACCAAGACTTGTGGTACCAAGAGATCTTGTTGAACAAGTGATATCATTATGTCATGATATTCCTGCTGCAGGTCACCAAGGTATGAATAGGACCACATTAAGAATCAAGGCGAAATATCAATGGTATGGTATGACACAACGAATAAGAGACTTTGTCAAAACATGCAGTACATGCAATTTACACAAGAAGCCAAACAGGAAGGCTAAATGTCCGCTCACCCAGTTTCATGCAGGTGCACCAATGGAGCGTGTCCACTTAGATTTTCTAGGACCACTGCCAGAGACGAAATTTGGGAATGCACATGTACTAGTTATGGTTGATCAGTTTTCCAAATGGATGGAATGTATTCCGTTACCAGCACAAACTGCAGAACATACGGCAAGAGCTGCTGTGAACGAGTTTTTCTCTCGTTTTGGATTTCCATTTCAGGTTTTTACAGACCAAGGACGAAATTTTGAAAGCAAGCTTTTCAAATCCATCTGTGAAATCTTGCAAATGCACAAAGCAAGAACTACTCCGTACAGACCATCCTCAAACGGACAAGCAGAACGTTGCAACAGAACCTTAATGGACGCCGTCCGTTGCTTCGTGTCTAAACAACAAGACAATTGGGATGAACATTTGGCACAGCTGGCAGGAGCTGTTCGATCGTCAGTTAACAGAAGTACTGGTTTTACGCCAAACATGCTGATGCTTGGGAGAGAGGTTAACCAGCCTGTTGATTTAGTGTACAGCGTACCTGGTGCTAAAACAGACGAGTCACAAGATGAGTATGTGATAAGACTCAGAGATGCCATAACATCTGCACATGAAATAGCGCGCAACACGCTAAAAACTACACAGAATACCATGAAACGTGATTATGATGTACGTATTCTGGAGAGAGAATACAAAATAGGAGATTTAGTTTATGTTTTAGACACGGCAAAAATTAAAGGTAGAGCGAAGAAATTGGACCCACCTTGGAAAGGTCCAGGACTTGTATGTGCCAAATTATCTTCGTATGTGTACAAGATAAAATTACAAAAAACTGTACTGACAATAAATCATGACCGTTTAAAACCATGCAAAGATAGAGAAGTACCACCCTGGTTAAAACAGTGCCAGCACCGGTTACAGGACGGTGAAGATGTAACCAAGGCGACTAACCCAGACTTGTACTGTTTGTGCAGAAAACCAGATGATGGACTGTTTATGATACAGTGTGATTTTTGTCATGAGTGGTACCATGGAGCTTGTGTAGATTTGACACCAGAGCTGGCGGACACTATGGTAAAGTTTAGATGTCCACGGTGCCAGGACTCTGGCACCGCAAGGTAAATTTATATTTTAAGGCAATACCAGTAGTATGATGTACATTTTTAGCATATGTTATAAATAGTTTTTATTGTGTTTTTCAGATTGTGTATTTTGGATTGATTAATCATGAGTAAAAGGCCAAGTAAGGGTGATGAGAACAGTTGGCCTACACCTTCAGAGGCATATGAAGGGACACCATTGCCTTTCCCCCCGGGGGAACAGCGGGGAGATGTACGTGAAAGTCACGATCAAGAGTTCAAGACAGAACCTGTAGAAAGTCCAGAAGATGTTCTTGATCTACATGACATAAATTATATAGATTGGACAGATATTCAGGTTCCACAAGAGCCTACTGCCCCAGTGGAAGAAGAACGTGATTCGTCACGTGTTATTCTTGAAAAAGAACACCAGGCAGACATAGTTATATCAACTGACGGTTCTGGAACCAGATCCGTCAGAATACCAGCAGCAAAAGGGACCGAGGTACAGGTGCCGGAAGTAAAAGGGCCGAGTCAGGAGCAGGATGTTCAACAGCCTGATGTTAGAAAATACCATGACAGCAACAAACATTCTACGTGCCCAATATTAACGTGTGGAGAATCTACCAAAAAGTTAAAACACCACTGCTGGCAGTATCACTTGCCATATATTTTTAAAGACCGTCCCTTAGATCAATTTGAGAAGGAGCCAGGTTTTCAAAAACTAAGAGGAGCAGCCATCCAGAAATTGGCTTCGTGGATTGTTGGTCCACGTGCTACAGTGTATGATTTGGTGCGTTACATAAATAGTAACAATATCTTGCCACGAAATTGCACAATGATGCAAAGATGCCAGGACCAGATGAGGAATTTAACTGCGGTAATGAACTGGTACCCACCAGCAGAGGACATTTATACGATGTATCCTGTGAATTCGCCAGCAGTTCTAATGCAGTGGCGTATCCTAATAACACTGCTTTCACAGTTATCTCCAAGTAGGAGGGCGGAATTCCGCAGAATTGGAACTGAGTATGTGTTGCCCCCAAGACAGCAACAACAGTCTCCAGTAAAGAGGAAGGCGGAGATGTTGGTAAACCTACCACTGCCGAAATCCTATAAGAGCAGTCGTCCAACAGAGGGAAGACAGATGGTTACTCTATCGGGCAGGGCCCGTGAAATCAATCCACCGACAGTTAAAACTGTAGTGAAGACTTTAAGTAATTTACAGAGTCAGCTTGCTGGCAAACCTATGGACGCCAGGGAAATTTTAAACAGGAAAAGACAATCCCGGGATTCTTCCCGTTCAGAATCAGAAAATAAAAGCCGAAAGACAGATATGCCGGTACATTCTGTTATACAGGTATCGAATCCTGCATCAGATAGTAACAATAACATTAAACGTATACAAAAGGTTACACTTGTGTCAGAGGCATTTGATAGCCATTTTCATTTAGACAGGGCCAGTATTTTACTCACAGGTTCCTTGGCGATGTCTGTGGAACAATATTTACAGGAGAAATTAATACCACCGCCAGATATTTCAGTTGAGGTGGTTGGAGGGGTAATGGTTTATTGTGATCCGGATACTTATCCACAGGTTTTACCGGACACCTCCAAATGGAAAATTGCCATAGGACTGCATCCAAAAGCTGCCCCATATTTCAACAATGACCAATTTACAGCGATGCAAGAGGCATTATCAGACATGCGCGTATCTGCGCTAGGTGAAATTGGGTTGGACAGAACTGTAAATCCAATACACTGGGTGTCACAAGAGAAAATTTTGGACAAATTGTTGGGTTTGGCGAGACCAAACAAACCAGTCATTCTGCATTTGCGTGGCCAGGCCACGGAAACAATGTCTGAAGCAGTTTACACCAGGGCTTTAGAAATAGTGCAAAGCAAATGTGAACCTGAACAAAAAATCCATCTTCATTGTTTTCATGGCAGCACAACACAAATGGACACTTGGCGTCGGGTATTTCCAAATACGTATTTTAGTTTTTCGTTAAAGGTAAAGGAATTCCACGAGGATCAGATACATGCCGCCAGGAATGTTCCAAATCATCGTATTTTAATAGAGACTGATTCGCCCTACTGCACAATTCCTTCCAACATACGGATTAATAATCCGCGGAGAATTGGACAAGTTGCCATGATTTTGGCAGGTTTAAGGGGTCAGCCAGTGGCTGAAATTTTTGCATTAACCATGGAGAATGGCAAAAGTCTATATGGCTAAATAGTGAACTGTGTTATATATTAGTTAAGCAGCCTGCAGGAGACAGGTTTATTCTGAAATGTAAATAGAGCAGATTCATGTGGACATAGAAAATCAGTTGTAAATTGTGATTGGAAATTACATCAGATGTGATAGATTGTGTTTAATACATCTATATATCTATCAAGGAATGATATGATAGTTATAAATTAACTCCGCAGAGCGACAACGGAGCAATTGTGGAATTTTCAAATATATGTATGTTGTTAATATGTCAACATTGGAAAATATATATAACTATATATATGGAGATTTATTTTTATCCCCGAGGTGCGACCATACGGGGTGGACTAAAGGAAGATAGTGAATATTCGAATAGGAAGTAAACTCACTCCTTTCAAAGTGGGGGGGGAGTGTTGTGTAATATGGTATAATGGACGTGACATTACTATGTAGACAGTACGGTAGTTAGATATACCGCGTAGCCCGGTTCCCGGAATGATCCATGGTAAACTACCCAGCTCAGGATAAGATCTCGAATAGTTACCAGGTAACGAGAGTTGGAGTATTGGCGGGAATGAGAACGCCTGTACTAGAACTTAACCAGAGAGTATCAGAGTATATTTGGTAAGTTAGTACAATTAGGAGCATTTCATTGTGTTAGAAGTATTAGTATTGAGTGATAATACTCGGAAATCACATCACCACTTTACCGGGACCCGTCAAAAAGATGTTTGTAGTTTGCAGAATGGAAAGAACCTTGCAGCGAAAATTATTTTCACTTCTACGTGAAAATCTAACCAGAAAAGTAAGTGTAAGCCACCAAATATGTATTATTTAGGAAACATACGTTGCTTGTTTTATTAATCATTCGCTTCAGAAAGCGAAAAACTGCATACTATTAGATAAAAGCGAGTTCAGTGTTGGCAAGTATGATATACACGTGGTCAAAACGAAACTAGACTGCAACAAATATATGAAATTTGAATAATTTATCGATTCCCGTCAATAAATGAACAGAATATCGAATGAAACAAGTTTCCTGCATTATACCAAGAGCCAATTCTCAACATTTACCCTTAAATTCGTTTCAAACTTTCGTTTCGAAGCCGAAGGTATCCTGCCATTCCTGGTTGGGTACATTTGCTCCACCGTTCACTTCTCTCCGGAACCCACGTTGCTGGACGAGCCATGATCTCTACCTTGAAAGCATCGAGCTCTTAAAGGAGCCCTAAACACGTAATCTGGAGCTCGACCACATATGGTGTACCCCCCCCCCCCTCACCAACAACCTCTACTCTCACCATAAAATCAGAAAAAAGTCCCGCTTGTAATTAAGTTGCTTATTCTGTGACAACAGACCAGAGTGAGGAGGCACGAAAGTACGCAAATCACATTATCAATTTATAAATGGAGAAGGCCACAGCTCTTAAGGAACCAATAGATTAAGGGGGGTCTCATACTTATTGCTCTGAATGTTAGTCTACTACAAGCCGCTGAGACAAAAAAAATTACAACACATACAAGTCATGCAAGTGTTATGGACCAACAAGCGTAACAGTTAAAACAAACCAGACACCATGAACACAAATTAAACAAAAATAATCATAAATGAAATATCAGTTATCACACATACTTGAAAGAAGCATATTTTTATTTGGAGCTCCGCCTAAGAATCATTCCTGGTGAATCATTCAGACAATATCTCTAAACAGCTTTCACCAATCTTCATGAAACTTTGGTGAATTGTTTGAATTTATTGACAAAAGTTTTCTTTCCATTTCTATTTGGTATTTTTGATATCTGGTTTTTGAGTATTCATAATTAATTATTCATAATAAAGGGTCGAAATTATGGCGTTTTTCGGACAATGACTCAAAAACGCTTAAACAAATTTTCATGAAACTTTGCTTAAATGTAACGTAAGCTCCCTTAAGATTTTTTTATATATTTTAGATTTTACTTATTCCAGTTATGGGATTTTGTTCATAAAAATTTTCATGAATTGTGCCACTGTGCGCAAGTTTTTTTTTTATCTTGTATACCCCCACTTTTAGTCTTTAGTTTAAAAAAGTGGGGGTACAAATGTACTGTTTTACTTCTGTCTTTACATCCTAAAGTCAGTCGGTCCGTCCGTCCCATGAATATTTTGTGTCGCATCTTTCTCAGGAACATTACAGGGATTTCTGAAATTTCAGGTTTTAGAGTTTATATGAGTCAGCTATACCGTGTCATGCTTTTTCAGATTCATCACTCAACAACTTCCTGTTTACCTTATACTTTAAGGGTATGGGGGTATAATAAGTGAGCAGTAAATCAAAGATTCACTTGTTTTTTATACGCCCGTTTACGGGACGTATTATGGTATACCTTTGTCCGTCAGTCTGTCCGTCCGTTTGTCATTCGTCAACATGTCGGACATTAACTCAAAAACGCTTTAACCAATTTGCATAAAACTTTGATGAATTGTTTATACCTATTGCCGTGAGCTCTCATTCGGATTGGGTTATATTCGTTAAAAAAAGGGGGATTTTCCAGTTTTCGGACAATAACTCAAGAATGCTTTCACCAACTTGCAAGAAGTTGTGGTGAATTGTTTATATCTATTGACATGAGCTCCATTTTGATTATTATAAATTTTAGATTTTATGTTTCTGAGTTACAGGTTTTTATTCATGAATCATATAAAAATGGTGGATTTTCCAGTTTTCGGACAAAAACTCAACAATGCTTTCAGCAGTTCTTATGAAACTTTGGTGAATTGTTTATATCTATTGATATAAGCTCCCTTTAGAGTTTTATAAATTTTACATTTTACATTTCTGAGTAATGGTGTTTTATTCATTAAAAAAGGGGGGATTTCCCAGTTTTCGGAGAATAGCTCAAAAATGAGGGGGGGGGGGGCTGGCTATTTTGAGCAGTGAGTGCTCTCAGCATTTCTAGTTAATCATCATGATCATAAAAATTAATTTAAGACATAAAGACGAGCTAAAATGACAACACGCGTATCATGTGTTTATGGCACAGCTCTTTATTTGCATAGGATGAAGCAATTCCAGAAATCTGAGAAAAAATAGGCATTATATCTACATGTGTATGAATAAAATTCTGATATCAAATAAGGGTTGTGTGGCAGACGTAATTTCTTTATTCAAGAAATTATATGAATCATTATACACATGTTTATGCTCCTTATTTTAAAAAAAGTATCTATTTGTAATTAAATAACTACTTTCTCTTTTTTTTTTTTAGCTCACCTGTCAATTACAAGATACAGTATGCCATTCCAGCTTTGATAAATATAAAGTAATGGTTTGAATTTGGAGAGCTTTATTATTATAGACAGGTAAATTGTTTTATCCTGCAATTAGCACACTATTGTACAATGAGGCAACTCTCCTCAAGAGTCCAAATGATGCAGAAATTAACAACTTTAGGTCACCTTATGGCCTTCAACAATGAGCAAAGCCCATATAGTCCATTATATAAAAGGCCCTGAGGTGACATATGTAAAACATTTCAAAGGAGAAAACTAACGGCCTAATTAATGTAAAAAAAAATGAATGAAAAAACAAATATGTAACACAGCAACAAATGACAACCGCTGAATTACAGACACATACATACAGAATGTGGCGGGGTTAAACATGTTAGAGAGCCTGGCTTTCTTCCTGTTTTATAATTTGTGCAAATAAATTTCTGTTTTCTTGCATTGTAAGAATATTGTATGATGTAAATTCAGAAATTATTGCCATATTTTTATAAGGCAACTTTGAATATCGCAATTATAAGAATTCATATTCTGAAATCTATACATATAACATGTATAAGTAACTGTACAAGTATGTAGATTTTTCTGAAATCACAATTATTAATCTCACTTTTTTGTCCATTTTTCAAAATTTGCATTAATAAATGTACCCAATAATCATGATAATTTTTATTCGACTGCAGACTGCAGTCGTATATTGGTATGACATTGGCGTCGTTGTCATCCGAAGACACATTTGTTTTCGCACTCATACTTAAGTTGAAGTGAATGGATCTCTATGAAATTTTACCATAAGGTTCAATACCACAAAAGGAAGGTTGGGATTGATTTTGGGGGTTATGGTACCAACAGTTAAGGAATTAGGGGCCAAAAACAAGCATTTTTGTAACTTCCAGACATAACTTGTGTGTTAGTGTATGGATCTCTCTGACATTGTACCACAAGGTTCCATATCACAAAGGGAATGCTGGGATTGATTTTGGGGGTTATGGTACCAACAGTTAAGGAATTAGGGGCCAAAAATAAGCATTTTTCTAGTTTCCTGACAATAACTTGTGTTCAAGTGTATGAATCTCTCTGAAATTGTACTGCAAAGTACCATACCACAAAGGGAAGGCTTGGATTGATTTTGGGGGTAATTGCCTCAAAATTTTAGGAATTAGGGGCCAAAAAAGGGGCAAAAAACAAGCATTTTTCTAGTTTCATGACAATAACTTGTGTGTAAGTGTATGGATCTTTCTGAAATTGTACTACAAGGTTCCATATCAGAAAGGTACAGCTGGAATTGAGTTTGGGGGTAATTGCCCAAAACGTTTAGGAATAAGGGGCCAAAAAAAAGCATTTTTCTAGTTTCCAGACAATAACTTGTGTTCAAGTGTATGGATCTCTCTGAAATTGTACTGCAAGGTACCATACCACAAAGGGAAGGCTTGGATTGATTTTGGGGGTAATTGCCTCAAAATTTTAGGAATTAGGGGCCAAAAAAAGGGTAAAAAAATAAGCATTTTTCTAGTTTCATGACAATAACTTGTGTGTACGTGTATGGATCTTTCTGAAATTGTACTGCAAGGTTCCATATCAGAAAGGTACAGCTGGAATTGAGTTTGGGGGTAATTGCCCAAAACGTTTAGGAATAAGGGGACAAAAATAAGCATTTTTCTAGTTTCCAGACAATAACTTGTGTTCAAGTGTATGGATTTCTCTGAAATTGTACTGCAAGGTACAATACCACAAAGGCAAGGCTGGGATTGATTTTGGGGGTAATTGCCTTAAAATTTTAGGAATTAGGGGCAAAAAAGGGGCAAAAAACAAGCATTTTTCTAGTTTCAGGACATAACTTGTGTGTAAGTGTATGGATCTTTCTGAAATTGTACTACAAGGTTCCATATCACAAAGGAAAAGCTGGAATTGAGTTTAGGGGTAATTGCCCTAAATGTTTAGGAATTTGGGGCCAAAATACAAGCATTTTTCTAGTTTCCAGACAATAACTTGTGTTCAAGTGTATGGATCTCTCTGAAATTGTACTGCATTGTACCATACCACAAAGGGAAGGCTGGGATTGAGTTTAGGGGTGATGAAACATAAGGGGGTTCAAAAAATTGGGTGGGGGGGGTTTCCTTTTTTTCTTTAAAATTTTCCATTTTGAATTGGTTATTTCTGATTTATATATAAAAGCAAATAATAATGATATGGTTTGAATAGGTAAATTAAAAAAATTTAAGTTCTTAGACCACATTCATTCTGTGTCAGAAACCTATGCTGTGTCAAATATTTAATCACAATCCAAATTCAGTGCTGTATCAAGCTTGAATGTTGTGTCCATACTTGCCCCAACTGTTCAGGGATTCGACCTCTGCGGTCATATCAAGCTGCGCCCACATAGCATTTTATTTAATTTAATGAAGTATCTGTACCAACAATAAAATTCATTTACACAGACATGACAGATATTAATACAATAATATACTGAACTTGCTAGCTAAAATTTCTTAGCTGTGGATTACTGATATTGATATTGAAGTATTCCTGTCATCATGGTCATAGTTTACATTTGGAAAAGGAGATACAAAACAATATCATTAAACATAATACATAAGTTTAAATATTTATTACATAATACATCTTATAGGCACATCTGGGTTTTTCATTTAATTTTAAAGTTTTATAAAAGTAGTGCACCTTATTAAAATGTGTGTGGAAAATTAAATTCTTGTTCAAATGTTGAATGAAGACATTATAAAATAAGGACATGGGAATTATTAATTTATTTTGTTAGCATTTTAACAGTAAATTCTTGAAGAAGTATGTTTGCACTAACTTTTGATTACTTTTCACGTGTTGAAAATTTCATTTAATATATATCATATTTGCATTTTCATATTTCAGGGATGATGACCTGCAGTGAGACAGCAGTAGAAAGTTACTTATAACTCATCATGGCCATTATGGAAGATCTGATTAAAATTTGTTTAGAAAGCCACCAAATATGTCCATGAAAAGTAGAAAAAAGACAGCAATTCTACATAATGTACTAAGCAGAAGCATTGACTGTTTCAAGACCAAATGAATTGGAATTTTTTATGGCAAGTACAGGGAAAAGATAAAGTAATTTGATTTAAACATTAATCCTACCTACAGATATACACGAGATATACATGTAGGCATACAATTCACTGATGCACGACAAATGGAGTTACATGTAATTTTAGAACTAAGAATATGACATACATGTATGATTGCCAATGAAACAACTCTCCATCAGAGAACAAATAGTCATATATTGTCCACCAGAGAACAAGAAAATCATATTTTATCATGATTTATATTTCAATTTCATTTCATAACACAGACTACAGGTTTACAAAAAGTTCAAAAGTATAATAAAAGTGTTTTAATTGCAGTTGTTGGTCATATTGATGTTGGCCTTCAATACTGAGCAAGACCTCTGTACACATGTAGCAGCCACATAATGTTTGAACCAAAAAATTATGGGTATTTTTCTTTGCTTGCATTTATATCATGTAGCTGCTATTTTGTACATATGTATCTAGTTTGTCTACCGGTATACTTGGAAATCTGGAAATTTTGCATGTTTTCATATTAGTCAAGTTAAAATTGGTTAAACCATTGTATTATTTTGGTTAAAAAATATAAATTGATTTAAATGAGACTGCAATAGTTAATCTCACATTTTTCGTCCTTTGTTCAATAATTATAATAATCTAGGGAATAAATTTTACTAAAAAATTTCTGTGTATTTTTAAAAGATATATAAACTTGGAAACTTGTGATGGAATATTTCCACAGTATAAGAGATTCTTATATCTAGCAGGTTTATCAAAAGATGTTGGGTATACCATGTATACATGTATGGCAATGAGACAGCATTCCCAACACAGACAGATATTACTTTCTTCTTATTTTAAATTTAAAATTGAGAATGGAACAGCAGAAGGTCACCAATAGGTCTTCAATGCAGCGAGAAACTCCTGCACCCGGAGGCGTCCTTCAGCTGGACCCTAAACAAATATATATACTAGTTCAGTGATAATGAACTCCATACTAAACTCCAAATTATACACAAGAAATTAAAATTAAAAATGATACAAGACTTACAGAGGCCAGAGGCTCCTGACTTGGGAAAGGCGCAAAAATGCGGCGGGGTTAAACATGTTTATGAGATATCATATTTATGTAGTACAGCTAGAATTTGATATAAAAATAAGATGATGTGGTATAATTGTCAATGAAGTTTTGATTAACAATTAAGTTGTGTTACTTTTTGTGATTGGGTCAGGTAAAGATTAACCCATGATTTTTGGTAGGTAGCAGTTTTATAAGCATTTACATGTACATATCATTTTTACTTTCCATGCTGACTATTTTGTCCTGTCCCCTATATCATGATTCATTCATCTGAAACTTTTGGATTGTGTTTACATGTATGTAAAAATAGTTAGTAAGTTATTTCTGTATTTTTATACATACTGGTACATAGAATTTCTTTTATTCGGACAGAAAAGAAATACCATTTCAGTTGGCTCCAATCTCAGCAGTTGATAGGAAATAAGTTTTCTGATTTTAACATCTTTAAGATGAACCTTAATTAAAATATTATGGCACTTCATAACGAAAAAACAATTGATTGATCGTGCTGAATGTCACGTAAGCACTTACGGCTTTTTCTTTGTTGTCCATTTGTATTGGTGGACACTTTGTACAGTAGGCAGGAATTTAATATGAAATAAGTGGCAGAAAAAAATAGGTCACTTAGTATTTCCAACTTCATGATAAAATTGTATTTTAAGGTTGAGAAATTAAGATGATATATATGCCAAGGCTGCAGATTGAATAATTTGTACATGTACATGTACCTAAATCTGAAACAAATCACAGATGTTAAAATTAGTCCTACATATATATGCATCTGATATAATTTTTCAAACTGGTTATTGCTTTATGATATATATATACATGTAGCATGATGTAATGTAAGCATAAATTATAGAGCACAAAGTTTTTTTAAGTTTGGGTTACTCAATGCCACATCTTCTAATCCTTATTCCAAAAAGGTAGTTTGTGCAAATATTAAAACTTACTCGTTCTATGAAAACAGAAATATATCCCCCATGTTAATGCTGGTGTATGCCTTTGAATCCCAAACAAAATAAAATGAGTAAAAGGAGGGCAGAATGATTTTACCAAGTAACTGTCAGGATGTTAGAATAAGTAAAATATTGCTCCAGATGAGTTGAAAAGGAATATTCTGTGCAATAACATGCAGGAAATAACTATGGACATAATAAAAAAAAAGCAAGCCATACAAAAAACTGGCATGGCAGCTGGTGAAAATTCATAATCATTTAGATGCAAAACAATCACCCTGCCCCCACCAGAATGAATTCAAAAAGACCTCCCAATCATGATTTACAAATTGATACCAGTCACACTTGATAAGCAGGAGATATTCAACAAATAAAATCTGGATATATTTATGCAGGTAGGAGTTTATAATTATAATTTAAACATTACCAATGACACGCCGAACAAACAAAAAATCATGAATTTTGGTATAAAATTCTTTGTGAAAATGCAACTTTTTTCATTAAAATTTTAATGGTTCACAATACACAAACACTAGAAGAGACCTAGTAGGCTAATCTATTAATTTATATAATGAACTTGCACTTGGAAAATGAGAACTATACAAGCACACCAAATGCGGATTCCGGATTTGAACAAAAAAAGGGGGAAGGCTGCATGCCCCAAGACTGTATAATAATGACCTGAATAATTCTGATTTTTTTCCTTCATTAAATTAAGCAAGCAATAAGATCATATTTGTTTATTCGCCCAATCATATCATTATGACATGAAACGCCGGTGAAAACAAAATATACACTTAGTTTTTCCGTCAGCCGATCCGACTACTACAGGGAACCTTAATTGGAACAAACACACATTGTTTTGTATTGTATAATGTATTGTGTAGTGTATAGTTTGTAATTTACTCAGTACAAGATTTCGAGTATTCTTCAACAGTTTGCGAATTTGCGAGCGATGCCCCCGGAAATGGAAGTAGTGATTTTTATTTCATTTTTTTTCAAATTGCCATTGGGTCACTTCCAAATATTCATTTCATGAATATGTTTCTTTTGAATTTCTTTCAGTATCTTCTCACCTTCTCTTCCAATTCCTTTCAGGGGCTTTTCCGTGTTGTCCCCTGAACTAACAGTAGAAAATATTTTTTTTAAATTTTAATGTCAATGGATACCACAGCTATAGGTGACATTGAGTTTTACCCCAATCACAATAAAAGTGTGCATTATTCAATCAATGAAAATTATTCAAACAACATTTTGTGTAGCCGAGCTAACATATAATTCATTAATATATCAAACGGTAATAAAAGAAGCGATATATATATATAACCAAGGATTTGTATATACAAATCCTTGATATAACGTATAAATATAATTTTAGTTATACTGATCATATGTGTAAAACAGTTGCTTGGATTAGAATACTTTTATCTATTTGTGAGAAAAAATGTTGGTTCTGACAAGGCATACTTGTTTTATACTGTATATATAACGAAAAGTTGTAGCAGGTCACTACCTAAATTCTGCATAATAAGACAACTATTCAAAAAAAGTATTGAAATCTTTACTTAAAATAACGGTTTGTTCCCGAAGAGGAAACGACCAAAAGTCTACATAGAAATGTTGGTTCTGACAAGGTATTCTTGATTTTCAATGTTATTCAGAAAAGGTATATGAGAGAGTCTGCATAGAAAGAAAATTATTCCGAAAAGGTATTGTTATATTTACTGGAACAAACGGTCTGTTCCGAGAAGGTAACGATCTTAAGTATAAATAAAAAAAAATGGTTTTGATAAGGTATTGTTTTTAGTTTAAATAACAGTTGGTTTTGAGAAGCTTACACTTTAAACATAAGTTAATAACATTTGGTTCTGACAAGGTACTGAGGAGGTAACGATATTAAGTCGACATAGAAATTTTGGTTTTTACTGTAAATAACGGTTGTTTCTGAGGAGGCACCGACATAAAGTTTACTAAGAAAATTTGGTTCTCACAAGGTACTTATTATATATATATATATATATGTTTTTACTGTAAATTAAGGTTGGTTCTGAGGAGGTACCGACATAAAGTTTACTTATAAAAATTAGTTCTGACCAGGTATTGTTGTATTTACTGTAAATAAAGGTTGGTTCTGAGGAAGAACCAACATAAAGTTTACTGATAAAATTTGGTTCTGACATGGTACTTATGTTTTAACTGTAAATTAAGGTTGGTTCTGAGGAGGTACCGACATTAAGTTTACTTAATTAGTTCTGACCAGGTATTGTTTTTTTTACTTTAAATAAAGGTTGGTTCTGAGGAGGTACCGACATAAAGTTTATTGAGAAAATTTAGTTCTGACCAGGTATGGTTGTTTTTACTGTAAATAAAAGTTGGTTCTGAGGAGGTACCGACATAAAGCTTAGTTATAAAATTTGGTTCTGACAAGGTATTGTTGTTTCACTGTAAATAACGGTTGGTTCTGAGGAAGTACCGACATAAAGTTTACTTATAAAATTTGGTTCTGACATGATTTTAATATTTTAACTGTAAATAAAGGAGTGGTTATGAGGAGGTACCAACATAAAATTTACTTAGAAAATTTAGTTCTGATAAGGTATTGTTGTTTTTACTGTAAATTAAGGTTGGTTCTGAGGAGGTACCGACATAAAGTCTACTTAATAAGAAATTTGGTTCTGACAAGGTTTTGTTTTTTGTACTGTAAATAAAGGATGGTTCTGAGGAGGAACCGCCATAAATTTTACTTAGAAAATTTGATTCTGACAAGGTATTGGATTTTTTTTAACTGTAAATGAAGGTTGGTTCTGAGGAGGTACCGACATAAAGTTTACTTAGAAAATTTAGTTCTGACCAGATTTGGTTGTTTTTACTGAAAATAACAGTTGGTTCTGAGGAGGTACCGACATAAAATCTACTTTAAAAAATTTAGTTCTGACAAGGTATGGTTGTTTTTACTGTAAATAAA